TGTATTAGGAGTCTAATAATTAGCCAAGTGTCTATTTTAGTTTGCGTTCACAGAAAAGACGACTGACTATTTGGAAGCAGCCCTCCTCCACAAAATCAATACGGTCCTTAGAACAGAGCTTCCCAGACTGATGGACAGCTGAGGCCGGGGGACCCTCCGAGCAGGGTGACCTGCAGCAGGTTGCTCAGGGACGTGTCCAGACAGGCCTTGAACATCTCGGAGGACAGAGATGCCACAGCCACTCTGTTCGACCGCCCTCACAGTAGTGAAGTTCTTTCTGACGTTTAAATGGGATTTCCCGTCTGTGCCCATTGCCCCTTGTCCTGTCACTGGGCACTGCTGAGCAGAGTTGGCTCCATCATCTTTACTCCCCCCATCAGTTACTTATGCCTGTGGATGTGAACCCCCTGAACCTTCTCTCCTCCAGGCTGAGCAATCCCAGCTCTCTCAGCCTTTCCTCGTAGGAAAGATGCTCCAGTCCTTTAATCACCTTTGAGGCCCACTGCTGGACTCTCCCGTACGTCTCTCCATGTGTCTCCTGTGCTGGGGAGCCCATCACCGGACCCAGTACTCCAGGTGTATCTCACCCATGCTGAGTAGAGGGCACAGATCATCTCCCTTGACCCGCTGGCAGTGCGCTGCCTGATGCAGCCCCACTGGCTGTTGGCTGCCTTTGAGGACATACTGCTGGCTCGTGTTCAGCTGCTTCTTCACCAGGACCCTCAAGATAAGAAAAAAAACCCCAAACCCACCTTCTGCAGGCCAGGCTGTCTTGCCGTATAGTTTCTTCATGCAGATGGAGACAGAAGTTCAGGCATGTAAGAAATAACTAAACCTTTAAGTAAATTTCAGTACTGGCAACTTCTTGAATTTTCACATTGCAGAAATAAATTGCTGGTTGTAATTATCTGTGGTTGTTGAAGCATGATAAAATTTATGTAATTTTCTGTGTGTTTTTTAATAACTTATGCAAAGTTTCTCACTTAGGTTAGAAGTTGCCTGTTTCAGAAAGTTTGTTTTGGATCTCTAGTTCTCTCTTGTTATGACCTAGATGGCCTCTCCTGAGCCTGTGCTTTTGTGTATTTCTTTCATAATGCAACAATTTTTGACCCATGAGGGTTTGTGAAGTGCATCTAAGGCAGCCAAGAAGTGTTAAGCTCTTGCCAAATTTGCATTTGCTATATGTCAGTCTAGAATCCAATTTTTAAATTTTTAAGACCACGGTTCAAAACATGTTGGAAACTATTGTTTATAGAGAGATTTGCAGCATAAATAAAAATGTGTATCTTCTATCCCAATCTTATCTAAAGATGATTTGTAAGTCCTTTTCTTCTATGAGACTAAAATCCTCCAAGAGCTTGGTAGAGCTTCATGACTTGAATTCCTAGTAGTCTTTTTGCGCAGTGCTGTGTATTACCGTATCTGCTATTGACTTGCATGGACAATTGGGGCAGGATCTGCGTTGGAGGGAAGGTCAGTGTTCTTCCTGGATACCAGTGAAGGAAAATTTTGTTACAGCTGGTGTGTGTGGAATTGAAAGTCTAACAGTGTGCTGTCTTTCATATATGTATTGGAGAGAATGGAAACTGCAGAAATAAAAAGGAAACACAACAGAACCTTCTGTAAGAACGGTTGACGAAAAGCCCTTTTAAAATTAAATTTCAGGATATGAGGAGAACAACCCACTTACAGAATTGGAAAATGTTAAGTTAGCTAACTCCCCTTTGATCCACGGCTTCAGCGAACAGTTCCTAAAGCCCTACGCAGCATCAGTCTGTACAGTTGTGTTTGCTTTGAAGAAATAGTCATTAATATAGCAAAGCACCTGATCCTATCTATACAACTCTGGAAGAATATCCATCAGGTTACATCCCAGACTTAGATTTGCTTTGATCTTGTGTAGAGCTAAGGGATTTGAAAAAGAGAGATCCTTATTAATTAGTTGCAGAAAGCAGTAACTGCAGAAGGCTGGTTTTTTGTAGTTGAGTCCTCAGAGACTTAAAGCACCTATTATGAACTGAAAATTGAAGTAACTTCTTTCAAGATGTTTTGTACATAAAATGGACAATATAGGAATAGGAGCTGTGCTTTAAATTCAGGGATCTTAACATTGGCATTGACTACTCTTTTTATACCTGTATAAATAGAAAAATATGAAAGAGGAAATGTTCATGGCTTTATAAATGGTAAGTGGAAGATGCCTCATAAAAAAAAAAAAAGTGTTTACAAGCTTTTCTTGCTAATACAGAGATTTTGGTTGGAATTCCTGCCTTACAAAAGGGAAGCTTTGTATTTTAACTTCCTGGAGAAAGAGAGAGAGATACAAAATTATTATTTTATTTTTAATATGCTTTAAAATGCTGTTTAAATGAGATTATTATAAAGATGCAGTCAGCTGAAATTGTCATTAATCATATCTGTTCTCTCATTTTAGGCATTGAATCTTGCTTATTCCAGCATCTACAGTAACTACAGGAATTTTGTTGGTCCCCCTCACTTTAAAGTCATCTGTAGACTTCTTGGTTATCAGGGTATTGCTGTGGTGATGGAGGAGTTACTGAAAGTTGTCAAGAGCCTGGTATGCCCATTGTCTTTCATTTTCTGCTATTCCAAATGGCTTCTAATAGGAAATGTCTCAAGAAAAACAATGTGAAAGTAAGATCTCAGATAAAACTAATTAAAATGTTATTTCCATGGAAGTTCAGTATAAGCTGTGTTTGAGAGTACTCGATGTCTTGTGAAAGCAATAGATGATGTGCCTTGGTAGCCTGAGCAGTGTTTGGAAAACCTTGGATTCTGCATTGGAGCGGAATTTAATTTGTGGACACCTATGCTGTTAGGTCCCGGGTAAAGTCTGGAAAAATATAAATGTGTCGAATTAGTTGGCTTCAACTTACCGATTGTACTGTAAATTCACTTTCTGGATATTTTTTGAGAACAGCTGGAGTGTGCTTTCTGCCTTCCCTAACTTCAGGGCATTCATTAATAGCACCATTGACAGATGACGCCTTAAATAACAAGGACGGTTTAATCTCTGTGCTTGATCTAGCAATGGATAGCATCAAGCCTATTTAGAAGAGTGTCAGACCAGATGTTGAAGACGTTATCCATACAGCCTGGGTATCTTGTATTGGAAAGGACCTTTTTCTGTACCCAAGAGGAGGTTGAGGGGCTGCCTGTTCGCTATGAGTATCTATGTATACAGTCATAATGCATTGCAGTTAAGTTTAAGCCAAAGAAATGGTCTTTTCCTCCCTGTCCCTGTTGCCTGTAAGGAGCATGCTGCCAAAATAGTCCAGCTATGCTAGGGGATAGCTGTAGTATTCATAATCTCACTTCAGACACTTGACATATTTGGCAGTTTGTTTACAGTAATTCCCACAATGTTCTAAGTCATGTTTTTGATGTTCTAGAAAGGCTGGAGCCTGCTTGAAGGGGTACTATGGTATAATCTTTTGGGAAAGAGGAAAACATATATTTTTTTAGTTGTTTAGGGTCAAATGTTGCTTTATTGGTTTGGGGGGACTTTCTTTAATTCATTCCTCAATTCATTAAAGGTAGCATTGAACACTTGGGCATTTATAAAGGAGGTTAAAAGACTGGGGGGAGGTATTCTGCTGATGGCTGATGCAGATACTCAGATGACAGATAGAGACCCATATGAGATAGGTGTCTAGTGGGAGGAAGGCAGACTGACTTTAGGCTGGGGCTGTGTCTTAGCTGGTATATCCGGAATAGCCAGTTTGACCTGTTACAGGCATACCTAATGCTAAGGATTTTTCTGTTGTTGCTTTTGAAAGCATTTAAATGCAACTTTTTAAACCCAAAATCTAAGAATTGGTTAGACAATAGAGATAGTCTGCAGGACAAGAACATGATTTCTTCCTTTTTACCTTCCTGGCCTTAGCTGTTGTGCCACTCTTCCTGTAGTGAAAGGTGGCCGATGCCGTATGAAGGAGAGTGCAACGGTATTAATTTGAAAAAGTTGCCTTTTTGAAGATGAAGATGATGACTGACAGAATTAAATGCAAGACTTTTAGAGGTTGTTCAATTCATGTGTAGTTTAAATGCAATTTGTTGTAAAGTTTCTCTAATTCGGTAACACTGACCTCTGTTTTCTCTTAGTTACAAGGGACGATTCTTCAGTATGTCAAGACCCTAATGGAAGTGATGCCTAAGATCTGTAGGTTACCAAGACATGAGTATGGTTCTCCAGGTTCGTTCATGTTTGGTGTTACTATACTAGCCTTAATAAGATGATACTAATCACGGTCTTCTGGATCACGTGTACCGCTGTCTTTCCCTCCCTCTCGATAATCAGCACTTACTCTGGTTTTCTATTTCATAACAAGAATCACTGAATACTGGCTTTGTGAAAATACTTAAAGTTTTAAGGCTTCTGTGCTTAGGGCAAAGAAAAGGATGGCAGTCTGTATATAGACAGCCTTACGACATAATTGATCTTGAGCTGGGATGTTCACAGCAGTTTCTATTTTTAGTTTTTCTCATAAGGATGTTGAGCTTTCCCTCTGCGAGTTAGCCTCTCGCCCCTGTGCTGTTTAAATGCCTAACTTAGATAACCTGGATTCTCTGGAAAAGCCTCTGTTCCCTCTCCCTTTGCCCTTATCAAATGTAAGATGAAGAGAGTGATACTGCTGAGAGGCAAACTGGTCCTGCCAGAATAGTTCTGTCTGATGCTTGTGTGGGGCGCATCTTAGCCACTTGACAGGAGGTGTGACAGTTGCAGAGGAAGAAATGGCTTTGAAAGCTGCTTGCCACTATGGAGAAATAATTGGCTAATTAGTATTTTTCACATTGTTCACTGAAATTCTGAAAGTGCTCCCCCCCCCTTCAAAATATTCCTCCTCCGCAACTTCTAATTAACACAAATTAATCCTTCCATGTGCCACCCACCTTCTGAGTATATCTTTATTTTTCCAGAGTCGCTTAGGTTTATTAAAGGCCACTCCAACTGGAATGAGGTTGGGTTTTTTTCTGCTTCCCACAGCTTGCTTGACGCTCATTACCAATGTTAAACGAAATCGAGGACTTACTAAGTGTTTCCTTCCTGTTTTTCTCCCTGGAGCCTAGAAATGGATGAATCATGGTGGTTAGCAGTATAAAAATAATCTGTCTGAGGTTTTTAGCCACTCATTAAGGTTTGACCGTACAAGCAGTAGGTATTCGCAAATATAGATTATGCATCACCAGGGTCTGCGATGCTGCAGGTGACAACAGGGAGCTCATAGTCTCTTGCCAGAAATGCTCACCTGCAAGGAGTAAGTGTTTGGCAGGAGATGCCCAGGGACGTAAGCATCTCTTGACATTAAAAGGCAATTTGTCCTATAGGAAAGGCAAAACTTTATTTGTGCAATGGTAGCCTTCACAGGATTGATTAAAACATTTGAAATTCCTTCATCACTTTCCTGTTTTGTAGAGATCACAAACCGCTTTTTCCTCATATTTACGCTTTGCAAAAGAAATGCCGTATGTTTAGATGCCTACTGTATTGAGAGACAGCGTAACTCTTGGTGTTAGGATAGAAGATCATAGCAATTAGATTCGGACTGGATTTCAAAAATCAATCTCATTCTGGGCTCCTTCACTGCCCCTGTTCCTAACAGATTTTGTCTTGACATGTGTATTTTTCCTGTTCTGAACTATTTCTAGCAGTGGACACTTAATAACTTCCCAGAGTCTCTTCCTAGAAGAGGCAGAGACAGCCTTTATAGCACTGTCACGCCGCCTTCCCCTTTATTTTTGAAGACACTAGACAGAAAATGTGTGTATAAGCTCAGAGCACCTCCATCCCTCTCTTGCATCACTGAAGAACTGCATGAGCTGTCTGCTCTTGGAGCAGCTCTGACTGATGAAGGAAAATGTTCTCTGCGATGGGGACATGCTGTAGATTTTAGCCCTCATCTGGCATCTGGAGAGGGACTGCCAGATTGCAGAAGGGCAGGCTCAAACCATGCTTGATTTGAATCACTGTCCTCTCCTTTCTGTGCTAAATTCTCCTCTGTAGCAGTCTTTGCCACACCCTGTTTACCCGGTTCACCACAGAAAATGCAAGCTAATAAACACCAACTGTTGTCTGTTCCCTCCTCTGCCTCCGAAAGCTTCCTGCAGAAGTTAGTAGTTGTAGTAAGTCTGAGTGCTATGGAGCATGTCTGTATGCTGCTTCTATTCTTTCATAAAAAAATCATTTAATCACTTCTTTATAATTGGCACTACCTACACATGCAGAGCAAACCTGTGATTCCAATCTACAGATTAGATATGTAGATTCTCATCTGTCTTGATGTAACATGCATTTATCAATTCAGAACTAATTTCCCGAGTCCATTCTCCAGATGCAAAGCAATTTAAGTATGTTCAGTAAGTAAGCCTTTTGGAGAGCTTTGTTTGGACTCTGTTGACTGCAATTACTTGAGCCCTACATAATCAGCCCTCTAGACTTGTGGATTTCTAAACGGTGATTTATTCCTGCTAAAAGGAGCAGAGTACAGACAGTGGCATCAGAGTTGTTCAGGACTCCTGTTTGCCAATGGGTTTGTTTCCATAGGAACAGTCTAAAGCAATGGAGAGCTTGCTCATCCTGTAGTCATAAAAATATTTGTCTAAAAATACATTAAGCATAAGGGTTTTTAAAGGGACCTTTTGAAGTCACTAAAGCTCTTAAAGGAATATTGGCCTATAAGAGTTTAAACATGAAATTTCATCTTGGAGGTAACATTTTCTTCCACTATTTTTCTAGTATTT